GTTGCTGCATTGTTGCTGTAAAATTAGAAATGCACATTTTCGAAGTCGTAATTAAGTTTTGTGTGTTTGAGTTCGTTTTTTTTTATTTTTTATTTTTTATTTTTTGCACTGCCATGTCTCTTTCATCGGCACAGTGAGATTTGCATGAATTTTATTGTCGCACGCGCGTCCGAAATGGATTCCTGCAGCGGTCAATTTTGTTCAGTCATTTTTTCAGCAGCACGTTTTAATAATTTACAGTTAATACCTGTTAGTGTTTGTGTGGGTTTTTTTTTTTTAATTATCTACCTGGAAACACAGCACATCAAACGCGCTGCAGCCCAATATGAATGTTTTCTTGTAGAGTTTAATTAAAGCACTCATAAGCGAGTGAAGCTAATGCGGCTCTCAGGCCTTACAGTCGCTGACTTTTAATGCATTTAAAAGTATTTAAAATTTCAAAATAATCTCACTTAAAAAACTATATTTTCGCCTATTGAGCACTTGACTAATAAACTCCTCCTTTACCTCTTTTCATTTCAGTTAAAGTATGTGAGAAGCGCCACATCCTGCGTGAGGACAAGCAGGAGTATGTGCGGCGTGAACGTGAAGCAATGCACATGATGACCAATGTGCCCGGCTTTGTGAATCTGTCGTGCACATTCCAGGACAGACGTTCGCTGTACTTTGTGATGACCTATGCCAAGAACGGCGATCTGTTGCCGTACATCAACAAGGTGGGCTCCTTCGATGTGGACTGCACACGCCACTATGTCGCCGAATTAGTATTAGCTTGCGAGCAAATGCACCGTCGCAATGTGGTGCATCGTGACCTGAAGCCTGAGAATATTCTATTGGATGAAGACATGCACACACTGATAGCCGATTTTGGTTCGGCAAAAATCTTCAAACCCGAAGAGCGTATTGCCGCTGCGGCTACGGTGACGGCGACGGCGACGGCGACGACGACGTCGCGCACCGGACGCCCACAGAATCGCAGTGATGAGGATGAAGATGAGGATGCCGAGGACACCAATGACACAGGCAGCGATGAGGATCGTGCGCACAGCGGGCGACCAGGGCGCTACTACAATCGCAGACGCAAGGGCAGCTTTGTGGGTACAGCGCAATATGTGTCGCCGGAAGTTTTACAAAATGGACCCATAACACCGGCTGCTGATCTCTGGGCGCTCGGCTGTATAGTCTATCAGATGATTTCCGGCTTACCGCCCTTCCGAGGCAGCAACGACTATGTCATATTCAAGGAAATTTTAGCCTGCGATCTAGACTTTCCCCAAGGTTTCGACAAAGATGCTGAGGATCTAGTCAGAAGTTTATTGAAAGTAAAGCCTGATGAGCGCTTGGGTGCACAAGACCGTGATGGCAGCTATGTGAGCCTCCGCTCACATCCGTTTTTCAACGGCATCGATTTCGTCACAGTGCGGCAGCAGACGCCGCCTCCGATATACCCATACTTGCCGGGCGTTTCGAAAGACGAGGACTTCCGCTCGCAATATTGTATGCCGGAAAACCTCGAACCAGGCTTGGACGACAAGCAGCTGACTCGTTTGCTCGGCATGGAATTGGGCACATCCCTTGGCAGTGGCGACTGCAAACAGAATGGCAGAGAGATTGAGAAAAAGACTGTAGTAAAAAGTGAGTATGGAACGCCAACAATCAGCAATCACATGCATAGCATATTAACAATTTTTTATTTTTTTTTTTATTAATGTAGATATTTACGACCTTTCGGATGCTGAGAAGCAAAAACGTTTGGAGCAACAAAAGTCTGACAAGTGGCATGTCTTCGCTGATAACGAAGTCATATTGAAGAGGGGCTACATAAACAAACGCAAAGGGCTGTTCGCACGCAAGCGCATGTTGCTGCTGACAACGGGCCCACGTCTGATCTACATCGATCCCGTGCAGATGGTGAAGAAAGGTGAAATACCATGGAGCGCCGAACTTCGCGTTGAGCCCAAGAACTTCAAAATCTTCTTTGTGCACACGGTAAGTGTTATTAACGTTATTTGCGCTTATATCGCATTTAAGTATGTAGCGCCAAACTACTAAAGCTGTAGTGTAGCCCCCAGCCTGTGCCTTTGACCAGAAATGCCATATCAGAAAGATCTGGCGTGAGCGTGCGGATGTTTTTATTATATTTTAAATGTGCAAGTTCATGCAACTGATAAGATCATCAAAAGCCAAGCTGGAAATGCAAGGCCAGCAGAATTGGAAGTGTGAAAGTAGTACACACCAAGCGAAGTTCATATACAAATGTAAATCCATTGTTTATTTATTATATTTACATACATATCGACGTGCGATAGTAGTGTATGCTGCTTTGTATTAAAACAAGATTATCGCTTTTTGAGTTTATGAAAATATTTGCTTTCGTTTGTGCATTCTTTTTATGAGCATTTAGTACGCTAAATTTAGCTCGTGAATTCATCCCAGTTTGTTCACCGCGTCGCCATCGCATATGCAAACGCACATACATATGTATGTACATATTTATGTGAGCACACGTCGAAAGTGTACCCGGGTTGTTGCAGGCGTATCCACAGCAAACTGGCGCCATGTCTCTCTAATTATTACGAAATGGTCCCACAAATGCTGCCACAATAGACACCGCCACAGTCACGTAACCTATCACTCATTTGCAATTTTCAACAATGAAATGTGAATTACATCACCGAGTGGCGGAGTACACACCTGTTGTAGTTTTGGTCAAAGAAAGAAAAATAAAAAAAAATAGCGCAAAACGTTTAAACACCTCGAAATAGAATATACATATATGTACGTCGGTTCAAACATTTGTCATTTTAATTTCGTTTTGCTTCAATTTTGCAACAAAACTATTAATTTTTGCGCATATATTAACATATGTATGATGAATGTATGCATAGATGGGCGTACATATAGCGACTGTAATGAGCGTAAAGCTTAAGTGAATAGCCACAATAGAGTAGAGCAGTCAGCAAACGGCCTTGAATACGCGGAAATAGTTGGGCGTTTGTTCAATCCATGTGTGGTTTATTGAACTTGTAATTTTGCTGCCCAAAGTTCTTGTGTGTGTGTGCGCGTGGCCGATGACTAAGATCAAGGAAATTGGTCGCTATTCGCAATATTACTACCATATGACGGTCGCTCAACTTGCTATATATTTAGCTCACTTCTCCTCCTTCTAATTACTTCTATTTATAGCATGCGAAAGCTGCTCGCACTGAGCAAACCATTCTACTACAACATTCTCTTAACTATTTTCCATTTTAGGTCAAGCGATCATATAAATCACTTTAGCTGCTTGCTTATTCGTCAAAGCTTCAGTCGTCTATTTCCATTTATACATATGTACTTCTTCAATTTGGTATGCTTTGCATACAAAGCCATTGTATGCCCGTGTCGCAAACATACAGACACACCTTCTACATGGTTCGCAATTTCGTGTATGGTTGAGTCGTCATCAAATTATCAGATTATTCACAGCAATGGTGGTAAAAGACCAACATTTATTTACCTGTCCAATGACTTATGTAAAACGAAGAGTCCAAAAAATGTTGACTTGCAAATAAAATGAATTTTCTTCGCCCCTACGAAAGAGGCAACAACACCCAACAGAAAATCACTTATCACTTCAACCTGAAGAATTACCTTTTCCTTCTACTTGTCGCTTTTCATTGTACGAATCACTAAGAGGGTGGGGGGTGCGTGTTTGCATAATCGGACCCTTGCTGTAAGAATACACACGTGCTCTATCTTATGATGCCTGCAGTAAAAGTACTATCGAAGCTGGACCTATTATAATTGTTTGACATTGAAAAATAACCGTTATATCATTCCTCAGCCACGCCAACATCTCTTGTTTTTTTTTTTGTGCAATATTTTGTCTATGTTTTTTGTCCAATATTTTGTCTATGTTTTTTGTCGGTGTATTTTGGCCACTCGAATTACACAGTCCGGCATTGTCTGGTTTCATAATAAAAGAACGTCAAGGCAATAAGTACAATAAAAATACAAGTAAGCATTGCACATATTTCAGAATGCGATTTGTTTTTATGCAGAAAACTTTATTTGTGTTTGTGTTTGTGTTTTTAGTGTAGTGGGGGAAAAACAAACGTATCGCCTTTCACTCAGACACCGCCGCAATTGGGGAGTTAGTTAAAAGCGCTAAACGCCAGGTTTCGTAATTCCGCTTGCGCGTGTCAGTAACACGTTTCCGATACAAATGTTCACAGCTACTACTCCAAAGGGAGACATTAAAACGTTTTGTTAATTTAGTTTTAGCTTTTACGCAAGCACAACAAGTTACACAATAATTTTTTCCATATCGGTACATAACTGTGTGTGCTTCTGTGCATAGAGTATATCATATACCGCGATATGTACATACATATATACCAATGCACACTCATGCATGCGCGAATCTTCAAATTTCGTTTTCGTATACATAATTCGCAAACATTTTGAAAATTTGCCAACAATGAAATAAATATTTAGTTTTCCGCAAATATTCCTCCTTCGCTCGTCGGTGGTGGCAATGACGCATTTTTCACGGGCAACATATGCCTTTTTGCCCTCGGACGGATGAGCCATGAAAAGCTGACGCCCGTGCAGGCAGCAAATAGGCGAATACGGTGTTGGGGGGGCGGGGTGCTTTTGGGTAGAAACTTTTGCTAGCGTGTGCAGCGTTGAGAATATTAAATTTCAGCTGATCCTCGCACACCCAGCACCACCTTCGCAGCCGCTGCAGTAGTTCGTCTCTAATAATGTCTTATGATGTATGAATGTATGTACATACGTGTGTGTAATTATTGCGGTCAGTGAATACATATATGGCTGGCGCTGACGTAGACGAGCGGGAATAGAATAGCATTAAAAGTGGGCGTGAATGTATTTACATGCCAACCAAAGACGGCGACCAGCTGAGGTGGATGGGTGTGTGGGCACTGCACTACGGCTGTGCCGAGGCTTTATGTAGCTATGTCTATAATTTGTACTTATTTATGAACATACATATGTATGTAGATAGTATACACGAGCTGTAGTATTATCGCAAATAAAAATTCGGTGTTCTGGCATAGGTGTTTGCATTATGCATACATACGAGTAGGTATGGACATATGTACATATGTATGCATATAAGTATAAAATATTTGCTGAAATTAGTTTTGCAAATAGCTGCAATGACCAATTTTACGAGCGCTGCATGCGCTGTTGCTCGCTCGTAAACTTTGCTGGCGTTGACACGTGCGCCCACTTGCTCGAGTGGGAGGCAGTGAGGTTTGGCGGCGGGACTCCGCCATTGTATCCGAGGTATACGAGCAATAAAATTTACTAAACTACGACTATGGAGAGTGTAGAAAATTTGTATAGGCACGTGTATGAACTCAGTGTTTTTATGTTTTGTTTGTTTTTGCTTTTGTTTTTAATTATGTCAGCTTCAGTTGTTAAATCATTTGAAATTTGCAAATATGTATTACCTCATTCTAAGTATTTGCCTATTATTTCAGTGTGATTAATATTTTATTTTCTATTTTTTTTTTTTCAGCCCAACCGAACGTACTATCTGGACGATCCTGATGGCTATTCGCTCGAATGGGTCGATGCCATTGAAAGAATGCGAAAACTCACCTACCCAGACTGCGATAGCGCGGCGGCGGCGGCGGCGGCGGTGACAACAGCGACAGGCACCTCGCCGAAATCGTCACATCGAACAAACTCGCCAACACTCTTCAGCAACGCGAGCAGCAGCACCTCCGGCGGCAGCAGCAGCAGCAGCGGCAACATGTTGACGGCAGCTATCGCCGCTGCAACAGGCCGAACGACGAAAACGGCGTCGAATTGAATGAAACGCCAGCCAGAAATCATACATCTACTGAAAACGCAACTAAAATTTTACAAAACTCCCAAAACGCCATTCAAATGCAAACAGAATTGCAGTTAAAGCCCAGGGGGCGGGCGGGCGGTCCACCACCGTCCGGTCGGTCGGTCCGTGGGCGTAAGCGCAGGGGTATGCAGCAGCCTGATAAGCAACTGAACAAATCGGCGAAGAAGGAGATATGCAGCAGTAGTATGCAAAAGCGAAGAAAATGGAAGCAAGTTAAGTTGCTGTGTTCACATCTAAAAAATGTTTAGAACAAATTTAGTTGAAATCATCAAATATCTACATAAAATAATTATTAATTACATAAAAAATAACAATATCAATTAAATTAATGTATAGTATATACAACTTAAAGAGCATAGCGAATAGCTGAATAGCAAAGCATAGTTGTAGCATGAAAACGAAAGGTTAAATCGCAGAATTAGTGGAAGAGAGAGGAAGAATGGGGGAGAAAAATAACGGAGGTCATAGCAGAAATTTAGTAAACAATTCTTAGCGATATTGTAGCAAATGCGAGTGCGATATGCAACGAATTGAAATTAAATCAATTCATCAATTTGCATCGAGCAAAACAATTGAGGGCGTAACGTAGCGTTGTGTACATATGTACATACAGGTAAATAAGTGAATGCGGGTGTGAAACGGTTGAAAAGTTGTAAATCGAATTATATATATTCAAGCAGAAATAAACAAATATATGTATATGAATATGCTATCTTAACGACACCGAAGCCAACTAATATTAATACAGACAAATTATTATTGCATGCAATCACAGAGTAAACAGTTTACAGCGGAAGTTGTCGACTTGGGCCGAAATCTGTGTGTGTGGCACGGTCGGTGTGGCGCTTAATTTTCAAAGCGGACCTTAGTTTCCTGCTTTTCAATTTCACGAGATGGTAAATTCTCCGTTCGGTTTCGGTCGCTATATTACGACCAACGTGCGTGATGCTTTTTTTTGTGTACTGTTTATTCTGTGATGCAAAAGATATAGATAGATACAATACATATTTACAGCATTTTCAGCAAGCATTCATAGTGTGTGGGTGTGGCGGCGAGCACACTTGCAAACATACATACATGCATATACGAGAAGAAATGTAATTTAAATTAATGTAATTCTAATTGTAAACAAATGTGAATATTTTGTAGTTAGTCACAATTAAATGAATTATACACCAGCAGGGGGGAGATATGCAGACATGCAGACGTACGTATGTATGTACGTTCGTTCGTTCCTTCGTTCGTTCGTTCATAGAAAAAATGAGAGAGAAAACTATTAAGCTAAAACTATAAAACTAAAACTAAGCGTGCATACCATTAACGTTGCTAGAAGCAGCTAGCAAAACATATGACAGTAGGCAAAGCAAAGCAAAGCGAAAAGCAGCGCAATGTGCAATGCAACGTCAAGTAAACGCATCCATATGTACTACAATTTAATTAAAAAAACGTATATATAATAACTGTAATTATACCATATATTATACTATATATATATATATACATAAATGATCAAGCAAAAGAAAAAAGAGGGGGGAAAATAACAATTAACAAAAAACACTGCATACATGCAGGCGTATAAAGAGGCGTAAATGAAATGAAAATGTTGTAATTATTTATAAACAACAGTAATGAGATACATATGTTAACTGCAAAAATTATGATTACCCCAATTATTCATGCAACAATTCAATATACTTACATATATATGTACATACATCAGAACGAATGTTTACACGGAAGAGACAACGGGGTAGTTGACTAACGCATAGCAGCAATACACACGCGGTGGGCCATTTGCCCCGTTGCTGCTGGGTGATTGTGCTGCTGCGCGAGGCAAGGAAGCGTGTTGTAACGCATAAGGTTTAGTTTCAGTGGCCGTTGTAAAAACTATTTAGCATTTAAGCTTGTAAAGAGACAACGTGCAATGATAGCCGCAGGTTGTCGACAAATAGACGGCGCGAAAGACGGCGATGATATATGTACATATGTTGATTGCGAAAGAAGCATGCCGAGAAGTTGTATGATGGGAATTGCTAGTACTAAATAATTGTAGTTGTACTAAGTAATTGTAAAGAGTTAGTTACACACACACACACACACACACACGCGCGAAAGAAAATAATTAACATCCAATCTGCTGCGTGCGCGGGGGCACTCACGGCCGCTGGTCTAACCATCGTTTTTGTTGGGCGCCAGTGCGTGCGCGTGCATACAACATTTAGCTAAATTACAAAATAATTAACTAAGGTAATAAAACATTAAAAAAATAAAAACTATTTTTATGCGATTAGAATGAATTTTAAGCGTTGCAAATGTAGTGTGTTCATAGCTATAAGCTGTAAACTGTAAATTGTACATTGTTTTTATGCAAAAGCCACTGCTGCTAGCGCCCTGCGTGACGTGAGGCAGAACCTGCACCTGCCCACGCGCCCTATGGCGTCGCGCCAGCCCCGCACACGCACGCCCCCTCGCACACAAACACACATACATATACACGCGTACGCCGCCGCCGTGTTCAAACTTAGTTTTGTGCTACTGATTTGATTTAGACTTTGCCTTTGCATTTTCGTTTTTTTTTTTTTGTTTTCATGCGACAATTTGAGCAAACATACATGCATAGGTATTTAAACATTCACAAACAGTTTAGTGGTTTGTTCAATTTTAATGAGGAGAAGTTTATAGTAGAATTTCATAGATCTTTTGTATTCTTTTTGTTTTCTAGCGTTCTTCTTTTTCTTTGTTTACACTCTTGAACTTTTGCCCTAATAACGCAACGCATAAGACTTGAATCTAATTGTAGACAAAACAAAAAGCAACAACAAAACAAGTACTATATGGAAAGATAGCAAAACAAAACAGATAGCAAACAAAATGCAACTAAAATGTAACCAAGCAGAAACAAGAAACAAGAAACAACAACAGCAATAACAGAAATAACAAAGTAACTAAACTATTTGTAGAACAAAATTGACCTCCTAGTGGAAAAAGCAAAGCCAAGCAAGCAAAAGCTACTGAGATACCGTTGAAAATGATCTAAAAATCGTAAATTCTTTTTGTATTGCAGAAAAAAAAAACACAGAAACAGAACGAAGATCAATTTCAGTTACCTTTTTTTTTTGATTGATTTAATTTTGGGTTTTTTTGTACGACAAGAAAACAAAAACAAATAAACCAAATTAACTAAATGATACTAGCAAAAAATATGAAACTCGATGTGTACGAAGCTGAAAGCATGAATATTTCGAAAGTTATTTTTCTAAAGAAATTAAACGAAAAACAATGAAGAAAAACAAAAAGAAAATAATTTCTTGTAATAAAGAATATATGTATGTAGTGAACAGCGCATTTCTTTTTGGTTCATTTGTTTGTTTGTTTGTGTTCTGTTAAACTAGTAAAATGTTTGTAAACTCAGTTTGGTTGCCGCTTTGTAAAAGCTTAAGTAATTTTGTTATGTATGTATATAAAATTAAGTGAAACGCTAAACGTTTCCGCACCTCCCTTTAAATTAAATCTAATCTAATTTGCCACCTCTTAGTTTTAACTAGCAAAAATATCTAGTTCTATGCGTAGCCAACAAAAACCAGCTTATGATTTTGCTTCACAGAATCCATTTGCTATTTTTAAGGGTTTTGGGAAAATGTGTTGAAATCTCTCTTTCGAAAAGCGAGTGACAAAAAAGGTTAAAGCAAATAGTAAAAATTGAACATTTGTAATCTCAGCTGAATGCAGAGTGCAAATAAGTACATTCGTGAGTTTGTTGCTAGCGTGCGCCGATAAGTTTAACGTTAACCTTTTGTTTGTATGTATTATATTGAAAAATATGTGAAATGTAGAAACATATATACATACATACATATATTTAATGTATATATACACACACACACACACACCATTTGTATGAATTTTTGTGAATCTGAATTTAGCGTTATGCTGTAAAAAATGTGCAGAGTTGAAATTAATCCTAGTTTATAGTGAAATTAAAAAGCAAAAACAAATGCAATCAATCAATAATTTATAGATTTTGCTTAGTTAGCAGCCGCTATATATGTATATTTTTTTTGTTTGTATTTTCTCCAACACTTTTTGTTGTTCTTTGTTTTTTTCCGTTAATTTTTTAATATTATATGCATATTAAATTCGTAGTAAACTGCATTGCATACCACAAAAGCACGCAAAACATTTATTTGATTTTTCTCGATTGTCATCGTTCATGTTATCTTCTTATATGCATAACTACAATCATACATACATACATACATACATACATACCTGCATACATAAACATGAAAAATGAAAGAAATTAAAACAAATACATTAACCAATAATGAAATACATAAATACATACTACGCTGTAGTGTAACAAGTTAAGAGCGAGCGAATAAATAATTTCTTATTTAATTAAATTAATGCTTATAGATGAATTATTTGTAATTAATTTATGTTACTTTAATGAATTAATTTATATATACAATACATACATATATTACTATACTGATTATTATTTACACCTAAGATAAATTTATGCAAAAATTATTTCAAAAAAAAAAGAGCAAAACATAGTAAGAAAATATTAGTTTTTAAGTTAAATTATTTAAAAAAAAAAAAGAAGAAAGTTGAGAAGCGAAATTCACAAAACAACAAAACCTTGAAATAATTTCAAAAATAAAAAGGAACCCCCAAAATAAATCTACTATTAAAATTATTGATTAAAATAAAAGTCGACTGTAAATTTACAAAAACAAAAACAAAACATATTTTTTTTTCAATTGGAAGAGCAGGCGTCGAGTGGGGGCTGGCTTGCAGTGTTGGTTTGTTCACCAGTTGTGAAGATGAAGATAATGAATTTTGATTTGGAATTTCACTTGTCGAGGCGTCGAAAAATTTTACTTGCTTTAATTTGTATGCACAGCTAGAAATTGTTGATGAGTTGCTTGGGAAATGTAAAATTCAATGAAAGATTTTGGTTTTATAGTTTATTGCACTTTTGATGCATTAACAAGTTGTTATGTAGGTGTTTATGCTCCTTGCGGGCGATCGTCACTGTATCAAAATTTGTACCAATTTTACGAAATGCCAATTGCTGCTTTTGTTGCTGGAATTGTGAATTGTTTTCTAAAAAGCATAAGCCACAGTTTGTAGGAGAAGATACCGATAAGAATCGGCCGTGTCGCCAATACCATGTGAGTGAGCAAAGACAGATTTCAGTGGTGAGCAAATTGAAATTGAATTAATTTGTTATAATTGTAAGTAAGTATGTATTTAATGCTACAGTTTGCTATATGCAGACAAACATACGTACGTATGTGTTTTACACTCCGAATTCCGGATTAGAATCTCTTCAATGTTCAGTGTTTAATTTTATACAGCACGAATGTTGATGTAAAACTGCAGTTCCGAAATACATAATACATATCGATTACTGAGTGGAAGATCGACCTATCTCGGCAGCCAGTACGAAAACGCCCTATCGCAAAAAACTTTTCAAGAACGCCCTATTTCAGAATTCGTTTCAAAAACGCCCTATCTCAGCTGCCGATTCAAAAACGCCCTATGTCAGCACATTTTCAATACATTTTGAAGTAAGATAGGGCGTTTTTGAACCGAATTCTGAGATAGGGTGTTTTTCAATAAAACTCTGAAATAGGGCGTTCTTGAAAAGTTTTTTGAGATAGGGCGTTTTCGAACTGGCTGTCGAGATAGGTCGATCTTCCACTCAGCAGTCGATATGTACGTACATACATACATACATACATGTTGGAGGGTAAATTCAGAGCGATATATATACAACTTACGTCAAAATAACTGAAACCTATGCATCGCCTACGTAAAAAGTATGGTAAGGATGAAAGTGGCAAGTCATTCGCGCGTACCATAACTTCCATAAAATAGTATGCGAGTGTTTACAATACATTGTACAAATAATGCTGTAAATTCGTATTAATTATACACAAAAACAACCCAGAGATGCAGTTTGGAATAAGAAATATACATATGTACATATGTATGTTTATTTTAGTGCAATTGAAATTGAGCAGATATTATAAATAAATAAATGTAAAAAAAAACTTGGGCAGCTCTAACTTACACAGGAAAGACATCTTACAAACTTGCCAAATTCTTTCATAAGTACGACATTCAGACATCATTTAAAACAAGGAATACAGTGGGAAATATATTGAAAGAGAAAATAAGCGAGGAAGACCCGCTAGATAAACAGGGTGTTTACAAGTTAACCTGTGAGTGCCGACACAGTTACATAGGACAAACAGGGCGAAATATAAGAACAAGGTATCGAGAACACATAAGGGATTATAATAAGAAAAAACGAAAACCAGAGGCTGCAATAGAATCGAACCTCGCGAATCACATGATCAAAAATAAATGCACACCAATGAAGATTGGACAAACAACAGAACTTCTCCGTGTACAACATAAAGGACAAAGATTGAATATATTAGAAAATATGGAAATATATAAACAGAAGACCTTCAAAGGACAAATAATAAATGAGCAAATAAATACTGCATCGGACGTACTGTTTGAACCTCTAAAACTACTGTACAAGAAGAAGAATGACAACAAGAAAATATTAAGGACAGATATGGAAGGGAATACACCGACTGCAAAAACAAAGGGGGTAAAAATCACGGACTTCTACCTGCCGTCAAAAACGAGCCAAAACAATTCATCTACCTATTGAGTACCGCAAACACTGCAAAACTAAAAAGACGTACCTAACAAAAGAAAGAGGTAGTTAACAAGGAGTATAAATACGAGCAACCAACAAAAATTATGCAGAACGAAAAATGACACTGAAGAGGGCACAACGCCGAAACCGGTTTGTCTCCAAACCAAATTTGACAAGGGATGACGGAAATTCGTTCCATAATACATCATACACCCACCCTGTCGGAAACAACAACAACCAAAAAGGAAATGTAAATGAACTAATTCTACTCGTAATAACAGAGAGACAAACAGATGCTTACATACATACATATGTATGTAGGTAGACTGCGTATAAAAATTAATATTTAGAAGGATTATATTTACTTATTAATTCGCATTAATTCTCTTAATCAACTAGCTGTGCCGGCAACAAATTTATTTCGTTATGAACCGAATAACAACTAAGTAAACACGCTCCGATTCACTTGAATAGGCACATTATGCATTTATCTTCAAGAACGGAGCTTTTATTTGGATTTGTATATCTAGGAGAAGCTTCGTTTTAATCTCATTTATGCATTAACACATACATACATACATATGATAAGCTTAATATAACAAGTAATTTTTAAGCAAAAAACAAACCCGACTTCAATTCGCATATAAAAATTTAAGAGTACCGTTAATTTTTACTAATCCCATTAATCGGATCTAAACCAAATTAGTATGAGACCATCTCTGAGGTACCACATTTTCTTTAAAAAAAATTATATAAATCGGTCCAAAAAATAAAATAATCCGACGAATAGATATCCTTCTCCTTTGTTTGAAGTCGGTTTAGAAGGCCCAATCTAATATTTTTGTTTTTAATTTTTATAGAGTATGTAGTTATTAAACATTCAAAAACTGTTTTCAATTGCAATTGGTTTTTAATAAGCACTGATACTAATTTATTGATGTCGTAGTAGTTGGTTTTAAATTATATTAGGTACATACTTAGTGCGCAATCTACACGCTTACGTGCAGCGCTAAATTTCGAAAAACAATGAGTTAGGGCCTTTTTACATTATTTTCATAATTACATTATATGTATGTATGTATGTACAACGTAAAGAATTGCGAAGTGCCTTAAAATAAAAACTAGACATTTCTTTTTTTCTCTCGCTTTGCTGATTGTATGGAATTTCTACGTGTTGCCTTAGGTGTAATTTATTTTAATTAAACTTAACGTATTTAAAGTTAGCAAACAATTCAAAGATGTGCACGTTTTCCTTTCTCTTAACCCCTTCAAAATATTTTCAAACTGAAACCTTAAACGTTTTTCGTCTGCCTAAGTAGCTAAGTTTTCGTCTGTAGCTAAGTGGTACATATTTTTAGGCTTCGTTTTCTGCATAAAAATCCGCAGTCTAATTATGAGAGACATAGTTTAATACAATCTCTGAATCCAAGTTGAATTTAATTTTTCAAACCGGTGGCAACCCTCTTTGATTTAGTTAAATAACATCTAGAATGATAAGTAAGTTGGCAAACCGTCGAATTTCTAGTCTTTTTAGAAGCAGAGATACTGGTTTTAAGAAAATGTCGAAGCCCACACTTTTTCCGAATGACGACAACATTTTTTACAACAGTTTGTTTGCTCTCCTGAAAAGTACCCATTTTCACATTCGATAGTTTGACATGGTGTCTAAGAAATGTATAAAAAACAAAACCTGCTTTGGAACTCAATTTTTTGAAACAGTGATGATCAGTACCGCCATTGAAGAACCGTAGCATCCTGAAAAACGGAGACATTTTCTTTTTTGAGACTTGAAGTAAATAAAATACCTAGGTTTGTTCCACGAGCTACTCGAAAAATATACTCGAGCTAAGTTCAAACTGCAAGCATAAGGCAAACAATCTGACAAATTAAACTACATTAAACTACACAAAAATTGCAGAACCAGTTTGGTGTAAACTTCGACAAACACATTTGTCGCGTAAATTATTTCTTAGTTTTTTAAAATTTTGACAAGAGTGTTTTTTCAGACTTCGCATAGCTGGTGGAACAAACCTAATATTACTATGTGCGAGTGCTTAATGTAATTTAGGATACGGACATTTGCCGTTATTCATACAAACCTTTTACTTTTTTTAGTTATTTACTTTGTTTTATGTCTCTTTGGCTTCTGTTTTTTATATTTAATAAAAATTATGAGGATCTAGACTTGTGATCAGCTAATTAAGCCAACAACATTTTGATCAATTTTGGGTATTTTTTTTTTGTTTATTATTTTTCCATAAAAGTCTAGCTCATTATATAACAAACCCCACATAAATCCAGATTTCAAACTTTGTGCAAAAATTATGAAAAATCTGCAAAGTTTCAGCTAAAATAGAGACAGAAGAGGGATTAACAACCAATCCAGTTTTTTTTTTTCAATAGATAGATATGTATGTACATATTTAGTTAAATAATTTTTCTTTAATGCAAAATTTACACAATGTACAATGGGTATATAAAACTGTATTTGTATAAATATGTATGTATATTATCCAGGCTGAGGAAAAAAATATTAATTTCAACTAATTAAATCATTGTATTTAAATAAAATAAGCTTGTAAAAATGGACTAAAACCTATGTATGTAAGACAAATCTACATACCTACGTACATACACATCGACATCGATCCAAACCATAATATGCGAAGCCTTAGGTAACTTAGCATGGCATCGTTTGGAGACGTCGGTCGATATGTGCATAGAATTTAAAATGAAACTAATAAGCGAAAGTGCGCGAGAATGTGAATATGTATGAATAAGCATAGAGAGTCTTAACTATAAATAAATATAAGAGGTATAGAATAAAAAGGAGATGGAGAAAAAAACTAAGTTCGGAGTGTTTTTAATTCAGTGGAAAAGTTCTTTAACAAATAATTTTTTTTTTTATCGTTAATCTCTTCATGATCCAATGATCGGATTTAAAGCAAATTAGGATGGGGCTTGTGAGGTAATACCTTTCCTTAAAAAATAGAATTATAGAAATCGGTTAACGTGGTCCAAAGTTATGCAGTAGCATACCTACATAAAGAAATATATATACACATTTATATATTTCGACGAACTGATAACCTTCTGCTTTTTGTGAAATCGCTTAAAAATTTTAAGCCATTTTCAGAAAAAACAAAAACACGTGAGTGCAGCAGTTATCACTGTGAAAAGGTCGTTAAAGGCGAATTTATTTTTAAATTTAAAACCTCTGTTGGCATTTTCATACTTTTTACGGCGACATCTATTGAAAAATATTTAACACATTTCTGACGTTAACGTTGATGCAGAATGACTCACAAAACGAATAACCTATTGTGAATGGTTGGTAGCTTCGACAGAGAACGTATATTTATAAATATACGTTCTCTGAGCTTCGATAAGGAAAACAAATACAGGGCGCTCAGAGCGAGCAAAAAATTAGGTAGAGTATTTCCGAAAACTCGATGAGGACTTTTAATGTAAATGTGTAGCTTCTTAGGGCTTTGAGGAATGATCGGCTGTCTGAGATTATTTTGATTTTGACTCTTTTGAGTCCTCTTTTGGATAAGATTTCCACCATTTCCATTACAGCAAAGAGCTCCGCATGGAAAATTGCGGTATCTGCACTTAACGAGTTATTGATTTATGTGCTCTAGGTCCCAATATTTATTCCTGCTCCTACAACCTAAAGCGTTTTGGACCCATCCCTTGATGGGAAAATGACCTTGCATCTCTTGGTAAATCTGAGTACTGCGTCTGTGTGATCACTTGCCTGGGTCATATGTGTAGCATTTTCGACCCTATTTAAAATTTCTGGGTGTCCAGTAAGAATTCCTCGTTTGTATTTTTCTTTTGTGTGGATTGAGAGTGCTTGGATTGCAGCTTTCTCTTGTATTGCCAGTTGTAGTGGTGGTAAATTTAACAGCGCTTCCATGCCAGCAGTTGGGGTAGTTTTCATAGCCCCTGTGATGCTTACACTGAGGGAAATAATGCATAGTAAAAATGAATATTTTATATTTGATTATCGTTTAAAAATGTTCGAATTTAAAAATAATATTTTCATACAAAACTTATTACGCACGTATTTGACTGTTAACATATGAGTGTACATACGCACCCCAAGCATGCAGAGCGCCGCTCTGAGAGCGGTGACAACACACACATTCATACATAGTACAAATCGCGTGCTGTGGTGTTGATGGATATTCAACATTTGAAAGCAAATTTATATGCCGGGGTGTAGCTGAGTGCGCAAAGATGCATGCCACAATTGGTTGATATCCAGAGATGGTCAGGATTCGAATTCCACTGCAGGCAGCGTAGAAGTTAAATATTTTTTTTTTTAGTTTTTTGTCTTGGTTATTCACTTCACGGATGCGTTTTCAGAACTAACGCGGTCATTTTAATAATCGCGTAATTGAATATTTACCAATATACAGTACTTTCCTTGACGTTTATAGTAAGATCAATTACGTTTCTATTTGATTTTAATATTTTTTACCCTCAGTGTAGGTAAGCCTTTACATATCTCTGAAGAAAATTGTCAAGAAAAACCCGCCTCTGTTGCCTTATTATGAGTTATTCTTTATCTTTTCTTATTGACACATTGATCACTTTACTTGAGTTTACTGTAATAGGAACGCCTCTGCTATGAGTATGAAACCACTTGGACACCCCCGCAATATATATGTACATACGTCATTGCCTTCTATTCAAGCCAATATGCCTTGACTCAAGCTTAAAATTATTTATAAGACATTCAATTTACTTTTGTAAACCCTTGAATTTGTTATTTCAAAGATAAAAAAAAGAGCAAAGATGTCCGAGGATATGTCCACTTCGGTATGGCCAGCAACAACGACCAGTGCGACAAATGACATTACATCTACAACAACTAAATCAACATCAGTCACATCAGTTCCAAAGTCCCACGATCATAAATACGGCAAATTCTTTAGCAAAACCGCTGTAACATTGCTGATGTGCGGCTATCTGATTGGGGTAGGCTTGGTCGTGGCTTGGCATATCTACGAAACTGGATGCATTCAGCTGCCAAAGGGAAAATGGCTCAAATGCAATGTGGCCATGTTGGTGTTCCTGCTGCTCTCCTACAGCCGTAATGTGCGGTAAGAGTTATGCAGATCCTTTAATATTCTAAAGGTATGGACTTTTATATAGATATGTACTTACAATCGTCCCCCCGATTTGTCCCATAGCTGCATTGTCACGTTGTGTATACCCATTTTGTGCAGCTCCAAGGGACGGTCCCTGTTGATCGCATCTGCTTTTCTGTTGGTCGCTACGGGACCGACGATGAATATTCTGCGCAACGTAGACGTGCTCACCCGCAGCTTATCCTGCGGCCAGATGCAACTGAAGGAAGCGCTGGAAGAAATGCTGGAGGTCATGAAACAGCCGCTGGTAGCTATTAAAAAAGCCGTCCAAGTAGCCATGAATAATATAAAGAAAATTGTCAAAAGAGTCGAACTATTATTGTACCGTATAAAGGAGCTGGTGCTGGTCGTTTGTAAGGACGTTTCCGAAAAAATTTTGCAGAGAAACTTGCATTCATTTGGGTTTTCTTTTGTGGTTGGTAGTGAGCGGCATCAAGGTCATGTTCGAATGGTTAAACAGCATTGTTAGTTTCTGCAATAAGGAGTTTGGCACACCCTTCGACCGTTGCATGAAGATCGCCGATGATGCGATGAAGGACTGCAGGTATCACTAAAAAACAAAAGGGATACACCAAAGGATAATTTCTTTAATTTCCTTTTATTTCGTGTTTTT